GAGCCTGTGGCTCGACTCGGGACCAAGAGTCAAGTCCCCACCCACCCGCATGTGTCTCGAAATCATGTGAGACCCAGATCTGGCCGGCTCCACCCCTGTCAAGCACAGCCTCAGGACCCTCACCAAGCCCTGCCAGGTGGGGTGCACAGCCTCAAGTCCCCCAACAAAGCTCAGGTTCCCTGGCCTGGCGCCAGGGCGGAGGATGCAGCCTGAGGTACCCCAGCCTGGCGCTGAGGTGTGGGGGGCGGCCTGAGGTTCCCTGGCTTGGGGTAAAGGACGTGGCCTGAGGACCCTAGCCCAGCCCCAGGGTGGGAGGCATGCCTTGAGGTCCCCCATTAAGCCCTGCCAGCGGGGGGGAGGGAGGGCATGGCCTGAGGTCAGTTGTCAAGTTCTGCTGGGCGCTGAGGTCCACCGTTAAGCCCCGCCGGGCGGAGGGCATGGCCTGAGGTCCCCTGGGTCAGCGCTGGGGTGGGGGGCATGGCCTGAGGTCCCCTAGCCTGATGCCAGGGCAGGGGGTGTGGCCTGGGCCAGGGTGGGGGGCGTGCCTTGAGGTTCCCCATCAAGCCCTGCTGGGCAGGAGGCACAGCCTTGATTTCCCCTGGCCCAGTGCTGGGGTGGGGGATGTGACCTGAGGTCTCCCGTCGAGCCCTGCTGAATGGGGGGGGGGGGGGGGCATGACGACACAGCCTGAGGTCCCCTGGCTCAGTGCCAGGGCAGGGGGCATGGCCTGATGTCAACCGTCATGTCCAGCAGGGTGAGAGCTGCAGCCTGAGATCCCAAGTCAAGCCCCGCTGGGTGGGGTGTGCAGCCTCCTGGCATCACGCAGCCTCAGGTCCCTGCTGAATGCTCCTTACAGGAATCCTGCCTCTGCTGTGGGTGCAGCCATCTTGTAATGGCGTGAAGGTTAATTTGCAAATTACCTCTTTATTATATAGGATGTTCAAGCCTTTAAAAAACATAACAAGACTTGGTGGTTGGCATCTGAGAAAGTCAGAGCCCCATGACTAGAGAACATTAAATAGCTAACTGGCGCCATCTGGAGGGCAAGAGGATTCTAAACAATAAAGCAAATTTCAAAACCCTGACTCATAAGGTTAAAATGACATACATCCAAACATTATAGGGAAATTTAAAAAAATGGAACTCCAGGCTTCTTACCTCTTCCCTGGTTCTATGAATGCACCTGGGTCTGTTACAAGGGGACTAAAGTCATGCTCACAGAACTTCAACTTGAGAATTGACCTCTCTCTCCAAATTTGACTGTAAATGCAGTCAAGGGGCTTCATCACACAATGCAACAGCCCCAGTACTGAATGGTACCATTTGTTGTGCTATGCTAATCATACTTGTAGCCACAGAGACCAGGAGGAAGGCTTGGGTTTCCCAGGCAATGGAGGAGACCAAGATTTCCACACACCCTGGCCGGCCCAGGGCTCCACTCAAGGATACAAAGTTTCAATTATAGAAGATAAATACTAAGAAAAATGGCAGCAGCCATGGACCTGGAGAGAGCAGGCGAGGGTTTCCCCCAGCGTTGGAGGAAGCCAAGCTTTCCACCTGCCCTGGCCGGCCTAGGCCTCCACTCCAGGCTATAAAGTTTCAACTGTAGAAGATACTAAGATAATTCAATGGAGAAAGGATATTTTGATACATTTTGATATATGATATACCCATGTAATCTTACTATTATAAAGATTGAGAACTTTGGGAGGTGACAGTTATATTCTCAATCTGGAAAGTAGTAATGATTTCATACCTCACTAAAAACACCTAGCATCTTCTTCCAATAGCAACTTTCTAAAGGTATTCCTGCTTATTAATAAAGCTTCTATTTTTGTTACTTTCAAGTTCACCCACTGATAATTTGCAGAGTTTAATTTTTAATACCATATTCTAAGAGAGTAAAACAAGAACTTTTGTTTGAGGTGAAGAAATTATGGCAATTGTTGTTATGTGGGTCCTATATTATTAAATATCTCTAACATAAAATATTTCTGGTTGGCTTACACTTTGAAGGTTTAGGAGAAAAGTCAGATGAGCAATCAATTTTAATATAACTGTGTGTGTGTGTGTGTGTGAGAGAGAGAGAGAGAGAGAGAGAGAGACTCGTCAGAGGAGTGAAGATGATGAGATGATGCCTGGATTGAGTTTTAGGGACAAATAGGAATTCACCAAGTGAAGAAGGGAAAAGGCATTCCAGGTAGAGAAGATGGCATAAACACAGGAGTCAGGGAAGCAGGAAAAAGCATGTTACACGTGGGAGTTTGGTAACATTAGGCACAAGATGTGGAGCTGTGGTGGGTGAGGTTGGAGAAGATAGGTGAGGGCTGACATGAAGAGTATTCTAACCAAAACCGGTTTGGTTCAGTGGTAGAGCATCGGTCTGCGGACTGAGGGGTCCCAGGTTCGATTCCGGTCAAGGGCATGTACCCGAGTTGCGGGCACATCCCCAGTAGGGGGTGTGCAAGAGGCAGCTGGTCGATGTTTCTCTCTCATCAATGTTTCTAGCTCTCTATCTCTCTCCCTTCCTCTCTGTAAAAAATCAATAAAATATATTTAAAAAAAAAGAGTATTCTAATTTGGGCATTATCTATTAGGCAGAGATTTTCTAAAGAATTTTAGGAAAGTAGATATTGTCATCAAATAAAAGTATAATCCCATCTATCAATTCAGAGGGCTTCATAATATAAAGTGATGGTAAGAACAGAAACGAGAAGATGGATTTAAGACATCTAAAACACCATATTGCCAATCCTGGTGACCAATTGGCCATAAGTGAGAGAAGTACCCAAGTTTTTATCTTTGGATTGTTCCCTTAGCTAAAAAAAAAAAAAAAAAAAAAAAGAAGAAGAAGAAGAAGAAGAAGAAGAAATACAAGAAGCAGAAGGAGGTTTGGTTGAGATGGAAAGGAGAGAAAGAAAAGAGTTGGGCATTTTGAGTTTCAGATGTATGACAGATGTTAAAGTGAAGATAATTTTTAAGGCAGGTAGGAAAAAAATGTCAGAGAATGAGAATATGCATGGGTGGTAAATTCTGATTGTGGCAAGATTGCCCAAGAAAAATGCAGAGAAGAGCATTGGGCTGGAAACTGAAAGAGCTTTTCACCAGAGGGCAGAGGTAGAAAAGAAAACCTATTGAAGATTCTGAATCAACAGCCACAGATATAGTGAAGGTAATGAAATAAACTATATTGTCCTAGTGACTCGTGTTTTCTCCCTCTTCCTCCCCCACCACCCACTTTCAGCCCCAGGTGTTCTGGCTGAAGAAAAGGCAAGTAATAAATGCGACTTCTTTGTGTGTGTGTGTGTGTGTGTGTGTGTGTGTGTGTGTGTGTGAGAGAGAGAGAGAGAGAGAGAGAGAGAGAGAGAGAGAGAATATGGCAGCTGATAGCAAGGAAATATTTTTTTGTTGACCATCATGATCATTTTGGCTTGAATTTTTGATGACTGCTGTTTATCTATTGACAGTACATATGTTTGTCTTCCTGGAAAACCATTGGAGAAGAATCAGAGGCCTGGCTTCTGTAGAGGTGACCATCAATAAAATGTATCTTTTAATTATGTTGTATAGTTCCACTGAGGTATAAGGTGGGCCATTCACAGTAGCATTTTCCATTGGGCATAAAAAGAATTTTGTCATCAAGTTGGGTCCTTGGCTGTGCTTTGACATTGCCAAAAGGAGGGGGAAATCTGGGTTAGCTGCCAAAATTTTGTAGCTTTGGTTGGGGAGGAAAACAAAATTGTTAGGCACTGCCATCAGTTGGGTCATATTGTCTGAACTAGCACAGGCAGACTTGAAAATATATAGCTAGCCAGGGAAGTATACAGACATCCGGGAACATGTAACAAAACTCTTTTCTTTCTTCATAGAAATTAAAATCAGCTTCCCTAGAAACAGGGGACATACCTATTTAATAACTAGTTCCAAGCTCACACATATCTATCTATCTATCTATCTATCTATCTATCTATCTATCTATCTATCTATCCATACTCATATCTATTGATATTTATGGTGTTGGTGGGGAGACATTGTGAAGGTAGGTAAGTCTCAAAATAAGTCTCTCTGAAGGCAAGACAATAAACATTTCTTAAAAAGAGAAGTGATCAATAATATTACAAATAGTCCAGAGGCCCAGTAAGATAAGGCATCTGTTGAATTTGGGCAATACAGAATAAGTCTTCTGTGATCCTAGTGAATTTTAATTGAACAGCATAAGCAGAACATAGATTTTATTTGCAATGGGTGAAAATGTACAGTGTACTAAAGGAATAAAGAGAGTAATTGATAGACAATGGTGAATAAATCTGACTTAGACAATGTGAATGATACAGTGTTGAGGGAAGTAGAAATGCAGGATCATAGGTAGAGACATATTTTGGAATAGGAGTGACTCAAGCACATTTGCAGGTTGAGGTAACACAGCAAAAGCAGGGGAGAGAATACAGACATGAGAATATGAGGAGAGGGCTGGTCAAAGAGAAAACAGAGCGTGCATTTGGAAGAAAATAGGAGGAAGGTGGACAGGTGAACTTGCATCCCTTGAATGTGGAGGAGAAAAAGACATTAAACAAAATGGATGTAGATAAATATAAAGATCCTTCTTGTCTGCGTTAATGCCAGATGCTAAAGCTCCTGAGAGCTCCCCTTTTATTCCAGCCTCTCCTGGCCCACGTCCTAACTGCAGAAACTTCTATCTAGTCACTTTCCAACTGTGGCTATCATACCATTGATTGGAATGCCACAACAAACACCCTTTACTTGGCTAACTTGGGTTCAAACAACGAAGTGGAGCTCAAAAAATTCAAAGGATCAGAGTCACAGACTTTTACTTATATTTATAATTTGTACTTGCAGTGAGAGGATGAGACCATCTTGGGGAGGGGGAGGGAATGGAATCCACGTTCTGAGAGTCTTCCCAAGTTGCTGCATGAAGCTGAGCTGTGGTTGAAGCTGTTTCTTTTTTTACATCCTGGAGCCTTTGGCTTAAATGTCTAAAGCTATAAAACATCTGAATCAAGAGTATTGGCCCAGTTGACCAGCTCCTCCACTTCCTCCTCCCATGGGTCATGTATGTGGTCACCATAATCTTCCCACTGATCCTCTGGTGAATACGTCTTTAAGACAATCTCACTTTCAGACTGTGATTCTAGAGAATAACACAACAGAACTGCAGTAAGAAATACGAAAAACAGAAATGTAATAGACATGGTAGGAAATACAATAAAAAGAGGAGCATTCCTGCATTTGTAGCATCATTCCTAAGGTCCTGTGAGTGAATGCAAGCAACCTTTTTAAACTTTCTAAATTTTTAGCCTTGCAATTAACTTTTTCTTTTTGTTAGAAATCATTCTCTCCACTTTGGTCAATCTTTGTAGCCTTGGTTGGCTTATTCATTTAATACATATTTACTGAGTCCCTGCTATGTGCCAGTAGATGTGTAAGGAAAAAGATGTGCAGGAGTGCTCTAGCAGCACAAAGATGGGATCACTGTGTCTAATGAGAACAGCAACGGACTTAAGCAATAGGGAAATGTCTCACTTTACAGGAGAGAAAAGTCAGAGCAGGGCAGGACTGAATGACATAGTGCCTCAGCAATGGCATTAAGGACAAGCTTTCTTTACTGCTCCGCCTGGCCATCTTTGGTGTCATCTTCAGACTGCAAAAGAGATGTGGTCATTCTAGCACCACTCACATCAGACATGCAGCATCCAGAGAAGAAAAAGGGGGGTCTTTGCTTCAGGGTCTCATTTTTAAAAGTAGAAAAACCATCCTCGGAGGCCCCCAATATATTTCCTTTCAGGCAAGATTGTGATACCCCACTCCTAAACTAGTTGCTGGCAAGAAAAATGGGATTAGCTGTTAGAGTGGAATGAATGTTGAGTGTCAGTCATTTTAACCATTTGCCCTCTGGTTCCTATCTTGTTTTTTTGTTTGTTTTGTTTTTGTTTTTGTTTTTGTTTTTAAACCACCAACAACTCCCAGGAAGCATAAAAATAAATCCTGGTTAGATTAGCATAGCTTAATGCAAAATAAGCATAGAAATGATTCCTTATGAGATAGAAAAAATAAGTACTATTTTGAACTTCTTTCCTCCAGAAAAACTTAAGTGTTATAAACCCCTCTGTGAAAACTTGGATTTAATGGTGGGAATCATTATCTGTGTTACTGTGTTAAAATAAGTTATGAAAGCACAAATTATATTTGTCTTTCTTGGGATGGATCTGCTTTTTCTAATTTTTTTTATCTTAAAAAATTAGTTACTGAAGATATTAACATATGTTCTGATGGGTGGGCTCTGATGATAATCAAATGGCTTATTTCCATTCACTTCTGTATCAGTCTGCATTCAGTTAGGAAAACAGAGCCACTATAACTAATACAGAAATGAGGGGTTAATAAAGGAAACTGAGCTTATACAGATGTGGAAGTCCTAAGGGGAATGAAAGTATTGAAGGCTACAGCTACAGAACTAGAAAACCAGTCTGTAGGTCTCTACCTACTTTAACCTGATGCACTGACATGAGTGGGAAAACCAACTTATGGGGAAACCAAGTAGCTGCACCCATACTGCCACCCAAAGTGGGACAAAAATTCATGATGGATGTTTATGAAGCCATCATATCTGTAAGGTGAGAGTTTGTAAAGAGTTGCATGAAAGAAGGCTGCTATGTACGGTATACACAAATTCTCAAGAATAATGGTCTCCCTGAATAGCCACAGCAATCTTAAAAAAAGAAAAGCAAAGTGGGAGGAATCATGCTACCTGATATCAAACTATACTACAAAGTCATAGTAATCAAAACAGCATAATAGTGGCATAAAGACAAATACACAGATCAATGGAACAGAACAGAAATAAACCCACATATATATGGTCAATTAATATATGACAAAGAAAGCAAGAATATAAAATGGGGTAAAGATAATCTATTCTAAATGGTATTGGGAAAATTGGACAGATACATACAAATAAAAAAAAAAGAAAAGAAAACTAGACCACCTTCTTACAGCATATACAAGAATAAACTCAAAACAAATTAAAGACTTAACTATAAGACCCCAAACCATAAAACACCTAGAAGAAAACATAGGCAGTAAACGTTCTAACATTGTTCTTACTAATATTTTTTCTGATATACCTTCTCACACAAGGGAACCAAAATAAAAATAAATAAATAAACAAACGTGATTACATCAAACTAAAAAGGTTTGCAAAGGAAACCATCAACAAAACAAAACAAAACAAAACAAAAAACAACCTACTAAATGGGAGAATATATTCACCAATAGTATATATTAATATAATATAATATAATAAGGGGTTAATATCCAAAATTTATAAAGGACTCAGACAACTCAACACCAGAAAACAACAACATGGCTCCAATTAAAAAATGGACAAAGGTCCTGAATAGGCACTTCTCTAAAGAGGACACAGAGATGGCCAATAAACATACGAAAAGATGCTCAACACTACTAACCCTCAGAAAAATGCAAAATAAAACCACAATGAGGTACCACCTCACATCTGTCAGATTGTCTATTATCAATAAATCAACAAGAAGTATTGGCTAGGATGTGGAGAAAAGGGAACCCTTGTGCACTGTTGGTGGGAATGCAGATTGGTACAGTCACTGTCAAAGCAGTATGGAGTTACCTCAAAAAATAAAAATAGAACTGCCTTATGACAGTTCCACTGCTGATATATATCTGAAGAAACCCCAAACATAATTTGAAAGAATATATGTACCCTTATGTTCACTGCAGTGTTATTTACAATAGTCAAGTTATAGAAGCAACCTAAGTGCCTGTCAATAGATAATTGGATAAAGAAGCTGTGGTACATACATACACAATGGAATATTACTTGGCCATAAAAATAATATCTTACGTGACAGCATGAGTGTAATTAGAGAGTGAAATAAATCAGACAGAAAAAGACAAATGCCATATGATTTCTCTTATATGTTGAATCTAAATGATAAAATAAGTGAACAAACAAAACTGAAACAGACTCATAAATTCAGAGAACAAACTGAGGGTTTCCTGATGAAAGGTGGTTTGGAGGACTAAGAAAAAAGGTAAAAGAATTAAGGAGTACAAACTGATAGTTATAAAATAGTCATGGACATACAACGTACAGCAGAGGGAATATAGTCAATAATATTTTAATAACTGTGTATAGTGCCAGGTGGGTCTAGACTTATCAGGAGGATCACTCAGAAATTATATAAATGTCTAACCACTATGCTGTACACCTGAAACTAATATAATACTGAATGTCAGCTTTAATTGAAAAATAAATTTTAAAAAGGGATAATGATCTCTTCTTCTCTTCCACCTCCTAAATCTCATGAATTTTCTCATTGGCAAACTATGACATGCTAAAACCTTTCTGCTAAAGAGGGCACACAAAGATCATTCATTTTTTGAGTCATATTTCCCTTTAATGTCCTGTTCACTGTTGCTATCTAATATTCAACCACAAAATCTCAGTGACATAGAACAATAAGCATTTGTTTAGGTCACACATTGGCAATCTGACTGGCTTCCTGGGTTGGACGTGGCCAGAAGGCGTGGCTGGGAAAATTGAGCTCTGTGCCTCTCATCTTTATTAAAGTTTTTTTCAATGCTTCAAGTGTTATGTAATTTACTTTTAAAAAACATTTGTTAGAAAGAGTTCAAGCAACTTTAAAAGAAAAACACAAGATTAAGCCTCACATTGAAATTTATTTAAAGTAACAAAAATTTAAATTTATTATTATGGATAATATTTTAGTTTTAAAAACAAAGCAAAACAAATAGACTGAACTCAATTTACCTGAAACTGGGGAGGGATAAATCCTGCGGCTTTGAGACTGGACTTTATAAGAAGTTTTAGTTTCTCTAGCATACTGAGCCTTGGCAGCAGCATACCTAGAATAAGAAAAAGAAGAAATTATGTAACTTACCAAATGAATTTGGGGATGCTTACATTACTTTTGAGAAAATAAGGCTAACAAATCAAATGAAACAGATGAGTAGAGCAATGGGGTTTGAACATGGTGCCATTCTGAGTGTTGACTAATGCAACAGTAAAATGAAATGGTTCCAATTTGTGTTTCCAAACAGAAGAGTAGTTAGAAAAGTAAGTGAATATGGTAGAAGATTAATATTGAAACAATAACAAAAACCCCCCATCACTTGGTATAGCAAGATGTTTTGGTTTCCTATACAAATGGGGCTCCATAGTAAATGATCACACACTTGATGGTATAAAATACATTTATTTTCACAGTTTCTGGGGGCTAAAGTCTGGAGTCAGGTGTTAGGGCCATGCTCCCTCTTTAGGGGTTTGGGGAGAATTTTGCTCTGTCTCTTCCTAACTTTTGCTGGCTTCCAGTGATTCTTAGTGTCCCTTGAATTATATCTGCATCACTCCAATCTGTCTCTATTGAGATATGGCCTCTTCCCTGTGTGTATCTATGTCCTCTCCCTTTCTTATAAGGACACCAGGCATTGAATTTAGGGCCCACATGAACCCATTATAATCTCATCTTAACTAACTATATCTGCAGACATCCTCTTTCTGAGTTTGTGTATTATGTTTCCCTTGAATCTCTGCAAAAATTGGTATTATGTTTCCCTTGAATCTCTGCAAAAATTCTCCACGAAGCCACCTGGGCTTGGAGTTGTCTTTATGTGAAGGTGTTTAAGCTATCAATTCAATTTCTTTATGAGGCATAGGATTATTCAGGTTATCCATTATGTTTCAAATAAGCCTTGGTAGATATCATCTTCCAAAAAATTTGTTCACTTCATCTATATGGTTGATTTTATTGGTCTGAAAATTGACCTTCATTGTAGAGAGAGATTTTCATGGGGTATAAAATTTAGGTTAACTATTTATTTCTTTTGAGCACTTTAAAATTGTCATCCATTATCTTCTGGCTTATAAGTTTTCTGACATGAAGTTATTGGTTGTTTTTATCTTTGTCCCATTATAGGCAGTGTGTGTTTTCTTTTTACCCTTTGCTGCTTTGAAGATTTTTCATTGTATCACTGACTTGTAGTGATTTTATTGTGGCAAATTATAATGGGCCTTGGTATGGTTTCTTTATATTCCTGTTTCTTGGGATCCATTGAACTTGCTCTCTGAGTTTATAGCTTTTATCAAATTTGAAAAATATTCAACCATAATTATTTTTTCACATTTTTTTCCTGTCACTTCTTTTCTGAGACATCGATTGCAAGTAACTTATACAACTTGATATTGTCACATAGCTCACTGAAGCTCTTCCCCACTTCCCTGTGCTTACTTGTAAGAGTTTATATTGCTACCCTTTCAAGTTCATGGGCCATTTTTATAAGTGGCTAATTTGCTATTCTTTCCATACAGTGTGAATTTAAAACATTTACTCATTTGTTTTGTCTCTAAATAGACTTTTGTGTATTTTCCATTTCTCTTCATTGTATTTATGATTTTCTTTATATTTTTTGAATATATATTACAAGATGCTTAATAGCTGCTTTCAGGTCCACATCTACAAATTCCATCATCTCCATAATTTATGCATCTATTTAAATGATAGAGATTTATTTTGGTTATGGGTTCTATTTTCCTGCTTATTTAATATGACTGGTGATTTTTGAATAGAATGAAAGATATTGTAAATTTTATTTTGGGGGCATTCAATTTTGTTATATTCCTTTAAGTATGGTTGCCCGTTTTTTCAGTTTTTGTTCTACTGAACAAGATGCAGCTAATATCTTGCAAATCAGTTTGGTAACTTCAAGGCTCCTGTTTGAGCTCACTAGGCCAGCTTTTATTTGGGGAATAACACAGCCCTACTATTGAGGCTTGGCCCTTCTGAAGTCTTTATCCAATGTCCCTTGAATTGATGAAGAGGTCTTGCCACTCTATCTAGCATGAAGACAAACTATTTCTAGCCCTCTGTGAGCCTGGTGTGTGCACTAAAGCAATCAATCAATCAATCAATCATTAGAATTTTCTTTTCCTCAGAACAAATATTACTTTAGAAAATATTGGGTCTAGTAATACTTAATGTCGTTTTAAACATTCCTTTAAAATCTTGCTTGGCGTTGACTTGTATTGACATAACCTTTAAACACGTGGTATCTACAGAATGTGTGAAGTGCAATTAACAAGTTTTGCTTGAAAAAGTTTGTGTTTGGTTTGGTTTTTGTTGCAAAACTAGGGCTAAGAAGATGGCGGATGAAGAGCATATTTGGCACTGCATGCTTTACGAGTTCCAATTAGGAAGAAAAGCAAGTGAGGCTGCAAAAAACATCTGTAGTGCTCTTGGTCAAGATGCAGTTAGCGCCAGAAAATGCCAGCGTTGGTTTGAGAAATTTCGCGAGGGAAATTTTTCCTTAGATGACAAAAGTGGTCGAGGCCGTGTGTCCAATTTTGATCAAGAAGCTCTTCAAGCTCTTTTGGTGCAAAATCCTCAAATTACCCAATAAGAGCTTGCGACAACTTTAAATTGTTCACAAAAAACAATTTCCAATCAATTGCGTGCACTTGGCAAAGTCCAAAAGTTTGGAAAATGGGTTCCTCATGAGTTGACCGACAACAACCGTAATCAAAGAGTCACAATTTGCAGTTCGCTCCTCTCTCGTCAAAACCGTTTGCCGTTTTTAGAGCAAATTGTTACCGGAGATGAAAAATGGCTGCTGTATGTTAATTTGAAAAGGCGGCCTCAATGGTTGGACAAAAATGAGGCTCCGCAGCCCACGCCAAAACCTGACTTGCATGCGAAAAAAGTGATGTTGTGTGTTTGGTGGAATTTTAAAGGAATTCTTCATTATGAACTTTTACCATCTAACCAAACCATTACAAGTGCAGTGTATAGTGCCCAATTGGAAAGGTTAGCCCAAGCTTTAAAAGAAAAAGAACCCGCGCTGATTAATCGGAAGGGCGTAATTCTTCACCACGATAACGCACGACCGCATACTGCAAGAATCACTGCTGAAAAACTGCGCCAGTTGGAATGGGAAGTTCTCCCTCAACCTGCATATTCTCCTGATATTGCCCCTTCCGATTACCATTTGTTTCGTTCTTTGCAAAACTTTCTTCTTGGAAAAAAATTTAATAATGAAGAATGCCTCAAAAATGCATTGACGGAATTTTTTGCATCAAAATCACAAGAATTTTACAACAGAGGGATTTAAAATGCTTCCTGAGCGTTGGGCACAAGTAGTAGAAAACAATGGCAACTATATTGTTGATTAAATTTTGTTGTATTGTTTAAATAAATTCGATTTAAAAAAGGTATTAGAAAATGACATTAATTATTACTAGACCTAATAGCCGCGAACAAACTGTCAAATTACAGTGGGAAGGCTGGGGAGTGCTGGGGAGGGGGGGATGAGATCAACCAAAGGGCTTGTATGTGTGCATATAAACACGGCCAATGGACATAAGACACTGGGGGCGGGTGGGATGAGGGCATGCGATAGGGGGTGGGGAGGTTGAGGGAAGGTCAACGGGGGAAATAAAGAGATATATGTACTATTATATTTAATACTTTAAACAATAAAAAAACTGAAAAAAATAGCATAACTTGATTTTATTAAAAAAAAACCCTGATGACTAATATTTCCTTTTTTATTCACACATATTGTCTTTCTAATTAAAAACAAAATTGTTGGCTCAGCCAGCATGGTTCAATGATTGATCTTCAACCCATGAACCAGGAGGTCAGGATTCCCTGACAGGGCATGTGCCTGGATTGTGGGTTGTGTGTTCCATCCCCCGTGTGGAATGGGTAGGAGGTAGCTCATCAATGATTCTCATCATTGATGTTTCTCTCTCTCTCTCTCTCCCTCACCCTTCCTCTCTGAAATCAATAAAAATATATTAAAAAGCAACAACAAAGCAAAACAAAATTTAAAAAAAACCAACAAAAGTATTTAGGATTACTAAAGAGATGCAAATTCAATGCTTATAAAGGAAAAATGCCATATATTAATCTAAAAAAATAAAACAAAAAACCCTAATGCATGTGTTTATTTTAAATTTTCAGTAACTTTGGTAGCAATGTAAAGGAGCACACATTTGAAAACATAGCTTTATGTGCATTACAAGAGCCATAAAACTTACCATATCCTAAAATCTAGTAATCTGACTTTCTGTAATACGTACTAAGGGAACTTCTTGGCTTCCTAGTGGTTCCTCCTTTCAGGAGGCCAATCTAAAACACCTCTGGGTAACCGGAGCGATCCTCCCTCACTCTGCTCAGACCATGGCCTACGCCACGCCCGGTGTGGTATTTCTGTGGCCACAATGGGGGGAGTGAGAGTGGGGTGGGCTGTTGAGAGGGAAGGCATGAGACAGAGGGAGGGAAAGAGATAGGGAAACCCCTCAAAAGAGTGTTCTGTGAGGGAGCACTATTTAAAGAACAATTTTCTTTCCAAAAAAAAAAAAAGTCCAGTATATGTTTTTGACTTGGTTTCAAACCCCTTTTTGATGAGAGAAGAAGGGGAAAGCAGCTGTAAGTCCCGGTATTTATAGCAGTAGGACGCTCCAGATTCTGTGCTACAGCCAGAAAGCTATGGCAAAGTCTTGGGGCTACATCCAGAGGAAAAAAATTGATGAAATGAATTATATCCATAGAAGGAAACAAGAAAGAATATGGAACTCATTTTAAAAAGCAGTTGAAAGAACTGGGTGTGTGTGATACTGTGACTTCTAATAATACTTTTAGTCTTTGTCCCTGTTTCTGGCACAGGGCTCCCAACCCTCTTGGAATTACCTAAGTGATGACAGCAACAATGGTGTCTCTTGTTATGAGGTTAACGAGGTGACTTTTGGACCTCACCCAAGGGTGGGGGGCTGCTTACCAGTAGGAGCCAACCATGTGGTTTTCGGATTGGAACTTTCAGTCTCACCCCCTGATGGCCAATAGCTTAGT